TGCCCTCCTGTGGCTTCTTGTCTTGCAGATTTCTCCACCCAGGTGAACTCGTCCCTCACCTCCCCGACAGGCCGAGGCTCCATGGCCGCCCCCTCGCTGCACCCGTCCCTAGGGCCTGGCATCGGCTCCCCAGGGCAGCTGCACTCGCCCATCAGCACCCTGAGCTCCCCCATCAATGGCATGGGCCCGCCCTTCTCCGTCATCAGTTCCCCCATGGGCCCGCACTCCATGTCGGTGCCCACCACACCCACCCTGGGCTTCAGCACTGGCAGCCCCCAGGTGAGTGTGGGGTTGGGGCAGGGGCAGGGGGTGGGGTGGGCCTGGGGTGGGGCCTGGGGCAGGGCTGTGGTTTCCCCTGCAGGGTGTCGCCTCATCTTGAGGCCTCTGGGAGGTGGGTGCTGAGATCTCCCCGCTTGATTTGGGAAACAGCCTTGGGGAGTTGCGGGCTGCAGGGGTCTGAGCCCAGGCGTGGCTGACTGCCAAGCCGGGCCTTTTGGATCATCAGCCAAGGTGCCTTGCAGCGGTCCTCTGCCCACGTGACCCCTCCCATGCTGGAGGGCTGGGGGACTCCGTGTTTCTGTGCCGGGGGGGCTCAGCAGGGAGAGGCCTTAGCCTGCTTTCCCAAACGCCTGTGGCCACACAGCCTGGGTCCTCCCCTGAAGTCTGCTTACACTCAAGCCAAAGGGCCCCCAGGGAAGGCGTGTTCAGGCTCAGGGCAGCTATTCCCCCGCCAGGGACACCGGGCCTTGGACCTGCAGTGGCTGGTGTGGCAGCGGTGCTCTGTGGTCTTGGCTCCACGTGGCTCTGTGGGTGCCTGGCCATCTGTGGGGCTTGGGGACCTTTTCCACAGTTGGGGTTTGCTCAGTTGCTTCTCCAGCTCAGCCTGGCCCTTTGGGCTCTTTCTGGATCAGGAAGGGCTGGTGCTGGCAGAGCCTGGCACAGTCCAGGTCTTGTCTTGCGGAACTTGGGGACCCCTCTTCCCTCGGGGAAGTTACTCCAGTGTCTCTCATGGAGTCGTCCCTAGCCCTGGGATCTCCTGTCTGTGAGGATGGAGGGTGAGACTGGGCCTCCTCCCCTGGCCCCCAGTGATTGCTTGTGGATTTCCACCAGGCCCTCCCTCTCCAGGGGCTCCATCTGCCCTGCCCCAAATGGGGGGTTCTCCTTCCACTCTGGAATTTCTGTGTTTGGGTTTAGCCCTTTGTCTAGCAGCTGAAGGCTCCATGGCAGAGTTTCGGTGCCATCTCAGGAAAGCCCACCAGGGTGGGACTCGCCCTAGTAGCTTCTCTGCCCACAGTCACACAGCTGATAGCGCCAGATGTGCCCTGTGGACTCCCAAGCCCCCTGCTGCCCCACCTCATTTTACCTAGGTCAGGCACTAGGCCCAAGGGATTACACGTGAGGGGGCCAGGAGGCAGCAGGTGGACACCTAGCCCTAAGCACCCATGCTACCTCCTGGACAGCTGAGGACTGCACCTGGTCCAGGCCTGCTGTGGTTGGGGTCTGGAGCCGGCCCACTGCCCATCCACCTGGCCCGTTTAGAGCTGGCCGTGGCCTCCTGAGCCCCTTTCCCCTGGAGAATCTTGCTGGCTTTCTGGGCCAATGCCATCAAAGTCCCTCTGCTCTGTGGGACGTATGCAGAAGAGCTGGGGTCCCTGCTTCGTGTCCCCCTCACCTCACCTGGCCTTCCAAAAGCAGCCAGGAGGCCCAAGGTGCTGGCGCAAGGTAGGCCTGGTTACGTTATTTTTAGCACCCCAGCCCTGCCCCTGCTGGCAGCACAGTGCCCTGTGGCGAGAGGGCGATGAAGACTCGGCTTCTGCTGTCCCTTGGCTCGCTGGCCAGCACCTATGGGGTCCTCCCAGGCCTGTCGCCTGCCCCGGACACCCAGGAATCTAGTGCACAGTTGGTGCTCCCAGAAACCCAGGGGTCCCTGGTGTCCTCAGCACTGTTTGGCCCTTCTGGGGGAAGGGATGGGCTGCTCTCTGTTTTCTCCTGTGCAACCAGGCCTCCGGCACACAGGAGGGGCTTGTTGAAGCCCAGTTGCTCGGGAGCCCGTGCTGCAGACCCCTTGACACTGGCGAGGGCCCCAGTGGGGGGCGGGTGAGGAGCCGACGCGGGCTGCCCCAGACGCCCCTGCCTGGCCGCTGCTGGCGTCGGTCTGCTGGTCTTACCCGAAGTCAGTTTCCCTCGGTCTGAGGCCCATGCTTGACTTGGCACTGGTTCCCCAGAACCCATAGTTCCTTCCCCGGGGGTTAAGCCCAGCGTCAGGACCTCAGCAGTTTGTCTTGGAAAGCTGGGGTTCCTTGCATTTATGGGTGTGTGAGTAGGGTTTCAGGGGGGATGTGCCCCCACTCCCGGCCCCAGAACCACAACCGCAGAGTCAGAGTTGCTGGAGCCACAGAGGTGCTCTGACTTCTGCTGCTGTTGAGGAGGGCCAGGCACTCTGCCAGGCGCGGCCTTCTGCCTGCTCCAGTCCATGGCCAGGAAGGGCCTTCCGCGTGGCCGGGTCCAGGCCACTTGACCCCTCCTGGCGTGGGAATAGGCGTTTGGGGGTGCTCGGGTAGAGCTGGGCCAGACTGCAGCTGCCTGGCCCCTGAGCCGTCCCAAGTCCCCTCTGTGGTTTGGGGGGAACGTTCCCCACAGTGGCCCAGAGCCTGCCTGGCTGCAGCTGGCTCACTTGCACATGTCACAGGTATTGGGGGAGTGAGTTGGCACCAGCTTTCACGTAGAACACTTCCGAGTGCCCAGCGTGGTGCTGGACGTGCTGTCAAGGCCTCTGAGCTCCAGCAAAGCCTCCTGGCGGGAGGGCCTGCACGGGGCCTGTGGGGCTGTGATGTGTGCACGGAGGCTGAGTGGGCTTCATGGTGTTGGAAGCAGGGTGGCACCGGCGCCGGGCACCTACCCGCCAGGGACTGAGGTCAGAAGGGAGCATGGAGAGGAGCTGGTTTGCTCCTGCCTTGGTGGACGGATGAGCCCCAGCAAGGCCGAGGGGTCTGCTCCTGGCCCAGAGTGGGCCTTCCCAGGTCGGGGCTGGTGAGGGACCCTGCAGGGGCTCAGGAAGGAAGGGTGTGGTAGGTGTGGGGAGAGAGCCGAGAGATGGGCAGGAGACCTGGGTGTGGCATCGAGGCGGCGGGAACTGAAATGAGAGCCAAGGATCTGAAAGGGGAAATGGGGCAGCCCTCACCCTGGCCACGCACGGGGTCCTGATGCTCCAGCAAAGCACCGATGGCCGCCTGGCTTTCTGGGAGCCGGAGCAGGGGGTGCGGGAGGAGACCCTGGATAGCTGCGGGGCACTGCGGGAGGGACAGAGCAACGCAGGCCCTGGGGTGGCCCTGTGCTGCGCTCCCAGGGCTGTGAGCCAGCCTGAGGCCCAGCAGCCCTGGCTGGAAGGGCGGAGGAAGGCGCGCCTGGCCTCCTTGTCCCGGCACAGCCTCACCTCTGCAGCCTGGACCATCCTCTGGGTGGGCCCAGAGAAGCAAGGGGGTATTCCCAGGGCCCTGCAGCAAAATGGGCACCCCAGCCTGGCCTCCACGCCACTCCAGACGTGCAGGGGCTCCCAGGCCCTGGGCTCACTGGGCTAGCCAGAGCCTATGATCTGACTGAGGTCGGGGCAGCCAGGGATGCACTCTGAGTTCAGCCTGGGAGCTGGCTTGGCCACAACACTGAGGGGGGGTGACCGTCTGCCATTCCATGCTGCCCGGAGCCCTTTCCCAGCCAGGGATGCTCTGGCGCTCCCTCAGTTTACCCAGGGCAGGTGCAAGGCCCAAGGGACTGCACCTGGGGGGCGGGAGGCAGCAGGTGGACCCCTATGTACCTGGGGTGGCTTGGGGAAGCCTGGAAAGAGGACATCTGTGAGTTCCTCTCCTTGGGCCTGCAGTCATGGCCTGTGCTCTCCAGCCTCTGGCCCAGGGCCTCCTCACACGCCTCGGTGCCTCTCCAGGGCGAGGGCACAAAGCGAGGTGTCTGACACTTCCTGCTTGTGGGCACTTTTGCTGCCCCCGTTTGGACCTGACCCTCGCCCCTGGCTGTTCCAAATTCTTTCCTTTTTTCAAACAAGCCATTTGCTTCCCCAGCTCTGAACATTGGCCTGGGAGGCCCACTGCCCGGGACACCCCTTTTTTCCTCCCAGGCCCTGGCCCGTCTCCACTGCAGCCACCGGCCACCCTGTAAGGCAGCGAGTTGTCTGCGAACTCTGCCCTGAGCAACTCAGTTACCCTCGCATTGGTGCTCAGAGGCCCTGGCCGGGCGCGGTGGCTCACGCCTGTAATCTCAGCACTTTGGGAGGCTGAGGCGGGAGCATTGCTTGAGATCAGGAGTTGTAGACAGGCCGGGGCAACATAGTGAGACCCCATCACTGCAAACAAACAAACAAAAATTAGCTGAGTGTGGTGGCATGCACCTGTAATCCAGCTACTGAAGAGTCTGAAGCAGGACGATGGATTGGGTACAGAATTTCGAGGCTGCGGTGACTGATTGTGCCACTACTCCAGCCTGGGCAGCAGAGTGAGACCCTGTTTTAGGGAAAAAAAGAAAAAAATTAGGCACTAACATCATTCCAGTGTTGCAGACGAGGAGGCAGGTCGCAGTGATGAAATAATTTTCCCAAAGTCACGTGAGAACGGAGGAGGCTGAACCCGGAGCCAGGGGTCCGTGTCTGGGGCCTCAGTGCCTTTAGCGAGGCAGTGACTAGACCAGTGAGCCTTGGAGGGCTGGGCAGGGCCTTGTCTCCTGGTGCCTCCCTGAACCCAGCACACGGCAGGGCCGGCTGGGCACTGAGTCTGGGCAAGCTCCGTCCCTCTCGGGGTTTCACTTGCCCCTTTTGCAGCGTGTGGGGACCATGTGTGACCTGGGCCAGCCCCTGACCTCCCTGAGCTGCAGCCTCCGCATCTGGGGCCCCTGGGGTTTTCCATGCAGGGAGTTGCAAGTGTGTGTGCAAAGCTCGGGCACCGTGGCACTCAGCAAACGGGCACCGTGGCACTCAGCAAACGCTGGGGGCGTTCTTTTGCCCTTCAGTTTCCTCCCTTCTCTGAGAAGCGCACCTGGTGCCCACGAACGTGAGCACTGGGCATTTGGCCAGTCACAGAGTGGCCACCTGGTTCTCCACACACCTTCTGGCACCCCCACTGTGCTGCGTTGTCACGGAGGGCCTCCTGGCTTCCTTCAGCCCACCTGAGGCCCACAGGGACCAAGCATCCTTGCAAAGCCTTGCAGCCCACCTGGGCAGACTGAAGAAGGACCTAGAAGCCTGAACAGGCTGGGGCTGGAAGAATCATTCCAGGCGCCGGGGCCCCTGTGAAAGGAGGCTTTGGGGTGGTTTCTGCTTTGCTTGCATTGAGCTTCAAACTCTTCCTGTCCCGTGAGAAGGGGGGATGGGATTTGGAGGCCTGAGGAAGGAAGGAGGGGAGCTTCCTGCGCACAGGCGGCGGCAGGGGTTTGCAGAAGTGGAGGCTGGGGGCTGGGGACCGCCTGGCTGAGTGCTCGCCGCCCTGCACAGCGGGCTGGCGGGCAGGATGCATCGGGAAGCGCCTGTGGGTCCCCTGCGCTGACTGCAGAGCTGGGTGGAGGCAGCGGAAGCAAAACTGCTGTGTCACTGCACGCGGCAGCTGTTGCCAGGGTGACCGGGTGAGTTTCCCACGCTTGCCCGGGCAGCAGCGTGCGGCCCGACGGGTGGGGTGGAGGGGTGTGAGGAGAGGCCAGCAGTGTCGCGCCACCTGATGCCCGGGGGTGTGGCGTGATCCCCTCTCCTGTCACGTGACCAGAGCCCCCGTCCTGCGGTGTTGTGGGGTACATGTGTGGTTCTGGGGGGTCCCCAACCCTCCTCCATTCTGGGGACGGGGCCTTGGCGTCCTCATCTGTGGCTTGGGACCCCCCAGAGTGCCTGCCTTGTGGAGCATCCCGGAGCACCCAGCAGGGCTGGGCACTGCCAGGAGCTCAGTCATGAGAGGCAGCTCTCATTTAGGTGGGCAGCGGGCAGGGGGTGCTAGTAGGCAGCGTGTGTGTTGTGGGGTGTCGGGGTCCTTTTCCACAGAGGCCTTGGGTCTGCTGTGCGCTTGTCCTGAGGTTGCCACTGCGTCTGCTAACCTGGCCGAGCACGCACAGCGGCCCTGCTGCTCCTGGGCAGTGTGGCGGATGGGGGCACAGCCCTGTCTAGCCTCGGTGCCTGTGTGAAGTGGGGGTATGCTGCACCATCCTTGCTGCAGGGCTGTGGGGGACGTGGGAGGAACCTGGTGTGTATCCCGCTGACCGCTGTGGTTGCCCCCGCAGCTCAGCTCACCCATGAACCCCGTCAGCAGCAGCGAGGACATCAAGCCTCCCCTGGGCCTCAATGGCGTCCTCAAGGTCCCCGCCCACCCCTCAGGAAACATGGCATCCTTCACCAAGCACATCTGCGCCATCTGTGGGGACCGCTCCTCAGGTACGGCTGCTTTGGGAGCTGGGGGCCCGTGGGACAGGGCTGTCAGGCCACTGCAGGGTCCGGAGGCCTCCCCAACTCGCCCTCCTGTGGGCCAGGCAGGACCCCCAGATCAGGGTGCAGGGAGGTAGGTGCCTGGGCCATGTCCCAGTCATCTCACTGAGCTCCCTTCCGAAGTTCTCACATCTGTGGGACAGCGAGTGTTGGGTCGGCTGGGGCGCAGGGCGGACCGAGGCTTCCAGAGAGGAGGCGGCTGCTGACGGCAAGGTCAGCATGGGGGCAGGCAGCGCTGCGCCTCCTCCCTTGGCTGGGTCTGGGCAAGGGGCTTATGCTGTGCCACTGACCCCCAACAGCCTGAGCGGGAAGCAGGATGCCCTCTTCCGGGCCGCACAGAGCAGCGGACTTTCCAGGGGCCCTGTCCCTGGGGGCCTGGGATTTGTCCCTGCCCCACTCCCGAGCTGTCCTCGGAGGAGCAGAGAGGGCAAGGCTGGGGCCCAGCCCAGTCTGAGCCCAAGTAGGGGTCTGGAGACCAGCAGGGCCCTTCCCGAGGCCTGGCCAGCCAGCTGGCAGTGGGGGGGTGGGTTCCCCGCGGCTCGCTGGCTGCTCCCCAGCCCCGCCCTGTCTCCCCGCCCCCTGCAGGCAAGCACTACGGCGTGTACAGCTGTGAGGGCTGCAAGGGCTTCTTCAAGCGGACGGTGCGCAAGGACCTGACCTACACCTGCCGTGACAACAAGGACTGCCTGATTGACAAGCGGCAGCGGAACCGGTGCCAGTACTGCCGCTACCAGAAGTGCCTGGCCATGGGCATGAAGCGGGAAGGTAGGCCGCAGCGGGGCACGGGCAGGTGTTGGGCAAACGGGGGCCCAGGCTCCCCACGTGGCCGCCCAAGATGGACGACGGAGTGAGCATCCCAGACAGAAGCTCAGCAAGGCCTAGGGAGGAGTGGGGGCGGGGCCCTGGGTCCTGGTTTGCATGCACGTTTGGGGGTGTGCCTCGATTCCTCCCATCAGGTCCTGTGTCTGGGCCTCATGGGGTGGGAGGTGCTGTCTTGGGTGAAGGTCTGCTGACCTGTCCCTGTCCCAGCTCTGCAGGACACCCTCCCTCTGTCCTCTGCTGTGCTGCTCCCACGGCCCCACATGTATGTGGTTGATGTGTCTTCCTTCCCGCCAGCCCCTGGTGGGGTCCCCAGGCAGGGTCCAAGCCACTGCCTCACACCAGGGATGTCCTGAGGGGGGGCCTGGTGCTGCCATTTCATTTCACCTTCTTCTGTGTGACCGTCTCGGCCTTAGTGGTCCTTGTTGAGAAGCCACAGTCTCTGCTAAGCCTTGTGCCCCTGTAGGGCTTCCTCCTTGGGCCTTGGGTCTAAAGTGGTGTCCGGGCTGGCATTGGGTCCTGTGCGCGCAGCAGAGCTGCCTTCTGGGGCTGGTGTGGCCGTGCCCAGGGTTGCCAGTCAGGCTTTTCTGATGGGGAGGATGTTTCATGGAGGGCTGGCATTTGGTCAGGCCCACCGTTGGCTGTGCAGGTTGGGAAACCGAGGCCAGAGGGTTTCGGCCTTGCTCAGGGTCACATGCCATCTAGACCTTGTTGCTTTCACCAGAGGGCAGAGGAGCGTGTGCCCATCCTGCAGAGGTGTGGGCCCAGCCCGGTTCTTCCAGGTGCCTGCGGTGGCAGGTATAGCTTTGTCCCTGGAAGATGAAAACTGGGACGGGACAGGCATGGTGGGCAGCGGCCAGGGCCACTGTGCCAGGTGTGGAGACGGTCCTGTTCTGGGGTAGAGAGGCCCGAGGCATAGCTGGAGCCAGGGAGAAGGCCTCCACGTGCAGCCTGAGCCTGGCTTACCTGGCGAGGATGCCACAGCACAGAGAGCTTGGTTGAGTTGAGACCATGCTCAGCAACGCCAGGCCTGGGTGTACAGCAGTGAGCTGGCTGTCCTTTGAAAGTGATTAGCAGATGACCAGGGGGGCCCCAGAGTACAGTCAGTGCAGGCTGAGGGGAAGTCGGGCGTTGTGGGAGCCGAGGGGAGGCACCTGACTCTGCCTCGGGTACCTGGCGGGACTTAGGCAGGCAGGAGGGCTGTCCCAGCTGATGCCTGAGGAATGGAAAGGTGTCCACAAGCCTGGCTGCAGGGAACAGCGTCTGTGCCGTCTGAGACTGTCATCACAGCTGCCCTCAGAGATTGGGGATGGCCTTTCAGTGTGGTGTGGCGTGTCTGTGGTGTATGGGTGTAGGTGTGGTGTGCGTCTCTGTGTATGGTGTGTGTCTGTGTGTTGTGGCATGTCTTTGTGTGTGTGGTGTGGCATGTCTTTGTGTGTGTGGTGTGTCTGTGTGGTGTGACGTGTGTGTGTGTGTCTGTGTGTGTTTGTGCATAGTTTATGCGCACGTGTGTGCGTGTGGTTCTCAGGTTCTGATGCCTTGCTCTCGGCTGGAGCCCTCTCTCCAGGCCGCACTGACTGCTTCCGAAAGCCCCGCAGCCTAGTCATCTGTGTGGTTGGGATCATCAGACTCCTGCTGCCTGGGTCCCCCAAAGTGTGGGGCCAACACCCCATCCCATCCCAGTAGAACTGTGCAATGTTGGGGTTGGGGGGACCTGGAGTCACGTGGTCTGACCCTTGCTCTGGTGCCCATCGGTGACTGGGTCCTGTTACGAGCATGCCATGTGGGGGGCACCCTGGACACCCCCTTCCTGATCCCCACACATGGTCTCACTCGCCCCATACCTCTGAGATAGAAAAAGGGGGCGCAGAGAGGTGAGCCATGGGGAGGTCCCAGGGCCAGCAGCAGGCATGGCCCGTTTCTGGCCACACATGGTGTGGCATGTCTGTATGTGCCGGTGGAGGCATCTGGTGCTTCTGGTCCTTCCTCTTGGCAGCGCACAGCCCTGGAGACCAGACTTACGGGCCGTGAGAGAGACAGCTGCTGCTGTCAAGGGACCCCCTCCCCTTTGCCTCCAGCAGGATTCTGCGTCGTGAACATGCATTCAGAACGCTGCCGAGCGCTCTCGCCCCAAACACAGCTGCAGAACTCAGCCTTGGCATGAAGGGTGCCTCTGCGTGGGCGGAGGGGGGGTGAGGCCCCCGTGCCAAATGTGCCCTGCTGCCAACGCCTCTCCTTGGGCACAGGGAAGTCTCTTACCTCCCCACCCTGGCTGTGTGGGCTGCACAGGAGCCTGTGGAGCTCCTTACCCTTGGGCAGCGTGATGGGGCCTCAGGTGCAGCCTAGGCACTCGCCCTGCAGGGACCCCACATGGGATCGGTGGCTGGGAGGGCTTGGGAGGTACCCTCCTCTCCCGCCTGCGTCTGGGTGCTGGACAAGACCCCTTGGCTCCAGATGAGTCCTGAAATGGAGAGCGCTTCACTCTCTTCTCTTGGGGCAAAGCACTGCAAGGTGGGCTCCCTGGCAGTGGAGGGCACGGCTGTGGGCTGCACGCGTGGGGCATGGCAGTAGCCCTCGGGAAAGCTATGGGGCCAGATTGGCCAACGCTAGGTGCCCGTGGCCCAAAGTGTGCATACAAGCTGTCTGCCTTCCCCCAGATCCCTTCCCTCCTGCAGGATGGGTGCTGTCGGCACCACTCGGGGGGCTGAGCCCGCCTAAGCGTTAGGCCCCTGGCAGGCTGCCACGCTGACTGGCCTTGAAGCCACGTGGCCCCTTGGCCTGGTTTGTGATCACACCCCTAGAAACTGAGGCTGGTGCTGAGGTGTCGGGTCCCATTGCAGTGTTGCGAGGGAGTCACCTGGGGTGGGTCCTGGGGCTGGCTGAAGGCAGGATGGCCCAGGTGCCTCTTGCAGTGACTCTGCCCCCAGCAAGGGCCCACTGTGGCTCTGGGGCAGGTGGGATCCCTACCCCTATGCTGAGGATGCCACAGGCTGATAGCATCTCGGGTTGGGCAATGGGGCCTGCATTTGCAGGCAGCCGCCAGGAGGGACTTGTTCTGCTGCATTCCCGGACCAGGGTGGGCAGAGGCTGGGGGACTAGTGTGATGGGTGTTGGCCCTCTGCCAAGCTGAGCTGGGCCTGTTTGCTGAAGCCGGGGGTGGCAGGGCTTCGGGGCCTGTAGGCACATGTGGTCTGATGGGGAAGGCAGGCCTTACCCTTGGGGGTTCCCAGTCTGATGGGAGAGGCCTGGCTTCCACTTGGCGGGGGACACTGGCCCAGATTAGAGGGGACGGTGCATACCCCCCACTCTGCTTCCTCTTCCCCCAGGAAGGCTGCTCCCCATTTCCTTCCTGCCTGCCTTTGCTTCCTGTGCCCACCCCCCAGCTCGGAAGGACTGGGTGCAGAAACAGCAGTGTCTGGCATGTGCATGTGTGTGTGCATGTGTGTGTGTGTGCACTGCAGGGACACAGCTGACCCACATGTCTCTGATGGGGAGGGAGCCCCGGCTGTGTGTGCATGTGAGTGCATGCGTGTGTGCATGTGTGAGTGCATGTGTGCACATGTGAATAGTGCGTAGGTGTGCACATGCATGCACGTGAGTGCATGTATGGGTGCATGTGTGCACGTATGTGTGTGCACATGTGTAAGTGCACGTGTGTGCATGTGGTACATGCTTGCACATGTGATGCATTTGTGCACGAGTGCATGTGCGTGGTGCATATGTGCACGTGTGTGCATGTAAGTGCGTGTGTGCACGAATGCACATGGTGCATGTGTGTGAGTGCATGTGTGCACGTGTGTGTGCCTGTGTGTGAGTGCACGTGCGTGTGCATGTGTGTGCATGTGTGTGAGCGCACTGCAGTGACACGACTGACTCATGTCTCTGTGGTGGGGAGGGAGCCCTGGCTGGGTGTGCACATGTGAGTGCATTGCAGGAACATGGCTGACCCACGTGTGTGTGCACATGTGTGTGAGTGCAGTGCAGCGACACGGCTGACCCACGTGTGTGTGCACATGTGTGGAGTGCACTGCAGTGACACGGCTGACTCTTCATGTGTGTGCCTATGTGTGGGAGCGTACTGCAGTGACACGGTTGACTACACGTCTCTGTGGTGGGGCAGGATTCCCGGCTAGGTGTGCACATGTGTGTGAATGCACTGCAGGGACATGGCTGACCCCACATGTTTCTGTGGTGGGGAGGGAGCCCCGGCTGGGCTCAGGTGTGGCCCTCTTGCCATCTGGCCTGACACTGGGCAAGTGACCTTGCCTCGCCAGGTCCACAGATTCCTCATCTGTGACAGGCTGGGGGCATCAGGAAGACCCCTGTGAGCTTGGGAGCAGAGCATGGCAGATGAGAACACTGTGCATGGGTGGTGATGGGGTTGGAGAGCAGTGGCCGTGTGTGTGTGTGTGTGTGTGTGGTGTGTATGTGTAGTGTGGCATGTCTCTGTGTGTGTGTGTGTCTACATAGTTTTTATGCACATGTGTGTGCATGGTTCTCATGTTCTGATGCCTCGCTCTAGGCTGAAGCCTTGAGGGAAGGTACGCCACTCCCTTTAGAGACTCTAGGTGGCTGTGTGGCCTCTGGCACTGCTCTCTGGGGCTCTGTCACCCCACCCTTAAGGGGAGGCCAGAGTGGTTCAGTGGAGTTCAGTCCTGCCTGTCTTGAGCCCAGCTCTGGGCCGTGCAAAGGACAGAGAAAGGGCTTGGCCATTGCCACTACCTGAGGCAGAGGAACCAGCAGGGCTGGGGACGCCCTTGGGCCCCGAAATGCCTGCCTTCCCCCAGACCCCTTCCCTCCTGCTTGGCCCATAGGGGCTGTGGCGCGACAGAGACGTCCCTTGCGTCTGAGGGGCCGCTGTACCCTGAGTCCTGGGCCAGCATGTCTCCTGATGCTGGGACCGCAGTGAAGCCGGGGGCAGGGGTGCCTGCGCGGGGATCCAGCCGCGGCAGTGCGGGGGTCTCAGGTCTTCCTGGGAGGACTAGGCTGCGGCGTATGAGCCTCCTCTGCCTCCGAGCAGCGCTCACTCAGGCTGGAGGGTGAAGAGGCCCTGTGTTTACAGACGCCTCCCGCCCGGCCTGCGGCGCCAGCGGAACATGAGTCAAGCGTGACTTCGTCTAGAAGGTGATTGTGCTGGCAAAGCATGAGTCCCGGCCCCTCCTGCCCCCAGCCTATAAATAAAGCGATCATATTTATAATGATGCTGGGCAGAGCTGCCGGGCCTTTCACAGCTTCAAAGTGCTTCACAAAACACTCGCTAATTAATTCTCGGCTGTCCTGGCAGAGGAGGCAGGTGCCAAGGAGCCCGGTTCCAGGCGCCTGGGGAGAACTGGCAGGAAGGCCCCTCGCTCAGGGCCACCCTCGTCTGGGGCTCCCTGTGCCCTGGGGCTACCTCTGAGCAGGAGAAAATCCCTGGCACTGGGCCAGGCTGGTGTATGGGGTGGGAGGCTCTGGTGACAGCTCTGGGCACCTCCGGGCCCCCCGTGTGCTGGCGTTTCCCCTTGGCGCCGTCCTGGGGGTGGGCGCTGTCATTCTCCTCTTACGGATGAGGAAGCCGAGGCACCGAGAGGTCGGGGACTTGCCAGGGGCCACACGGCTGCTCGGGCTGTGGCAGGCTCTGGGCTCCAGGACGGCAGCTTCAGGCTGCTCACTGTCTTGAGGGCTCAGCCTTGCCCCTTTGGTGCTCAGAGTCTCAGTTTCCCCACTGGAGAGACACCAGTGCCAACTGTGTCTTGGCACTGAAACTTCAGAATTCTGTTGTTGGTGCCCATCCTTAGGGTCTCAGGGACCTGGGCCAGTGGAGGTCCCTGGCCCTGTCCCTGTCAGCTCAGATGCTGGCTGAGACCCACCTGCGTGGGTGCCTCCTGCTGGGGATTGGGGTCGACTCTGTTGGCTCAGGATCCTGTACGGAGGGTCCTGTGAGTAGTGACCCCGCCCCAGACGAGCACCGCACACTGGAGTGCTCATGAAGTCCCATGTGGGGGCTGCCAGACCCTCAATGTCTGCCCGTCAGCCGTGCCCCCCACCCTGCGCCCACCCGCCGTCAGGTTTCTAGTAGGGCCAGGCCTGTGTGCCGACTTCGGGGCCCCCGGCTGGCTCCTCCGCCTGGTTGGTGCATCTTGAAGCTGGGGCTGGGCCTCCCGGCCCTGAGTCTCTCTGTGTGGGCGGAAGTCCCTCGCTCAGGCAGCGGGCAGCGGGCCGTGCAGGAAGCTGTTGGCACAGGGTAGCTGAGAGGCGTCCACGTGGAGCTGTTACAGAGCTCTGGCTGGCGTGAAGGGAACCACACAGAGCTGGGGACCCCGGGCCTGGGGGTGTGAAGTGGGGAGGGGCTTGCAGAGCCTGGAGAGCGCTGCTCAGCAGGAGCTGTGGCTTTAGGAGGAAGTGGCGGCTGACACCATGGCAGGTAGGGGCAGGGAGGGTGCCAGAGGCGCAGATACGCTCTCCTGCCCTTGTTCCTCCTGCTGTCCCTCACGTTTGCCAAAACCATCTGGAAGCCAGAGGGCGGGAGGGTGGGACGGGACAGAGTCAGTCCATGGTGGCTAGTGCCTGGGAGAGCTCCAGGCTACCAGGTCTGTGTTCTGTCCACCACCAAGATGGCCTGGAGGGGCTGGGATGAGCCTCACCCAAGGCCCAGAAAGGTGGCAGCTCTAGGAACCCCCCTGCAGGCCATACCCTCGGGCCCTTAGAAAGGCCGTGTCCTAGGCCTCAGACCAGGAGGAGAAGGGGCCTGGATCAGGGACTGCTCAGCCCAGCACACTGGCAGGAGGGCACGAGGGAGGGAGGAATTGGCCCCAGGTCCGTGTCTGGGCTGGGAGGAGTAGGGCAGGAGGGGCATTTTCAGGGCAAGAGTGGAGAGGTTGACTGGAGGGGGGCGTGGAGCTGTGCCTCGCAGAACTGGCCTTGCGGCCCGGGTCCCGTTACTTTTCTGTCTGCTGTTGACTCACTTGGACAAGTCACTTTATCTCCATGAGCCACAGTCTTCTCATCGGTACAGTGGGGTAATGCAGGTGCCCGCCCTGTGAGGCTGTTGGCTGGTGGACGAACAGAAGAGGGAGGAGGTGGTGGGGTTGGGACCGGAGCCCCAGCTCAGGCCTTGCGGGGAAGGGGGCATGTCTCGGGGGAAACGGCCCATGAGCCAAGTGGACGCTTCTGTCCAAGCTCCGTCTGGGTCGCGGCCTGCCCCCTGGCGCTTCTGGCAGGGGGTGCCCAGATAGGCGGCAGAGGGGCTGAGGTGGCTTCCTCAGGGCCCAGAGTGGACAGTCCAGGAAGGCAAATCCAGGTGTGGGGAAGCGCAGGGCGGGAAGGGCCTCATGCGCCTGGGCAGCAGGGTTCATGCCCCAGGACTTTCGCTGAGCTCACCCCAGGGCCGATCAGAGTCAGCTGACCGGAGCCCAC